GCCTGGGAGAGCTGGGGTGGCTCAGCCTGGGGCAGAGAAGGCTCCGGGGAGACCTTCCTGCAGCTGCCAGGGCTGAGAGGGGCTGAGGAGAGAGATGGGGACGGGCTGTTTAGCAGGGTCTGTAGTGATAGAACAAGGGGTGATGGTTTTTAAATAAAGAGAGGGCAGATTTAGACTAGATATAGGGAAGAAATTTTTCACACTGAGGGTTGTGAGACACTGGCCCAGGTTGCCCAGAGAGGTGGTAGAGGCCCCATCCCTGGAAACATTCCAGGTCAGGCTGGACGGGGCTCTGAGCAACCTGCTCTGGTTGAAGATGTCCCTGCTCACTGCAGGGGGGTTGGACTAGATGGCCTTTAGAGGTCCCTGCCAACTCAAACTATTCCATGATTCTATGAAAATATATTTGACAGGAAAGAGAGTTTAAAAAAAAAAGCCTTACAGTTTTCCAGCAGAGAACCAGTGAGGAACTGGGAATTACCTGAATTATTTTCACAGCTGCAGTTTCTTCTGATAGTGCTGAAAGTGAAGTAATGGACTAAATGAGAAGCATCCTCCACACACACCCGCGAACACTGCAGCAAAAGCTGGCAAATGGAGTGGTGACTTCTTTCCTTGAATTCTGAAAGAGGATTTGTAGGGCTGAGAACCTGAAGACCAAAAGGCAACAGTGCTTTGAAAATCCATTCAGAGGACCAGGAAGGAGGAGGTTTCAGCTTCTGCAGGAAGACTCACAGTATGTTAGGGCTCGACGCAAACACTTTACACCCTGAAAGGAAACAGTAGAGTAATGCAAACCTAAACGAACCTTACTTAGAGGTACGGGAGGAATGTGAAATGTAGATACAGTGGAATGGGCAGAAGTTTTTTGCTTAAATTAATTTCCTTGAATATTGAATACGGATGGTAAATAAATCATACCATTATCAGAAAAAGCTGTGTTTCTATTACTACATCCCAAGGGCAAAAAATGTTGTCCTTGCGTATCAGGTACATATCGTATCTATCATGAGCGCCTAGATGAAGAGCAGATGGATTGCCAGTCCCATCCCAGGGAGCTGGGTGGCCAGAACTGGCACTGAAAGCCATGCAGTCAGGAGAATTGCGGAGTGGTACCTGGCTGGATACCTTACCCTGAGAACGATGACAGAACTCTGTTCTGGATGCAACTGAGCATAAAGTCCTGTTTCATATATTCAAAGAAGCGATTACTAAAGTAAGTCTCAGGTACAAAAGTACTGAGATACAATGCACCTATTACATAGTCTTTTTAATTTTTTTTTTTTTTTGGTTACAACTCGGGTTGCGTAGCAGATCATCCTTTCTTGATCTGAAAACCAAGTAAAGACCGCAGTAATATTTTTACTAAGGCTCTAGTTCACCTAGAGACTTAAGTGTCTTAAATTCTATTACGTTTATTGCAGTTATTATCACCGCTCTGCTCAAAACCTTCTGCTTTGATCAGCTACACACTGTATAAACATAATATATTATAAAGACAGTCCCATTCCTGAATAACGTAGAATGCAGTATGTCATGAGAAGCAACAAACGATGAAAACCTAAAATGAAAACAGATGAAGCAGAAGCAGCCCAGTCCTCGGTCTTGAGTGACTCATTGAAATGAGTCTGTTAAGCAGAATAGTGTCTTATTTGAACCCTTTCTGTAGAAAAGCTGGATTTTTATTCGTGGAATGCAATGGATTTCTTTAATGTGCTTACTCCATAAAGCTATTAGTATTTCAGTAGAAGGACTGGTGTTGGTCTTCGATAGAAATAAAACTTGAATATGAGCTGCATTTGCTGTAGGATACCGCTTCTTTGAAAACACGTCAGTGGCTAGAATAGAAATGTTAAAACACTGTATAGCAGTTTAAAGGGTGTGCAGATGAAGCTGCCCACAGAGAGAAACCACATGCACGACACAGAGATTGGCTTTTCAAGTTTTACTACTCCCACCTTTCAGTTAAAACAACCTTCTTGGTGTTCTATGTGTATTTTGTATGTTTATTTATTAGCTTGACTTACACTGCATTTTTCTGTGGAAAGACTAATATGCTAACATTTGAAACTGCTGAGTTACATTGATAAGGCCTAATTAAAACTCATGAGTTGAATTTTAATTTGATTAACTTGCAAATTTCTCATTTTCTGATCTACTGTTTATAACCTTTTTTAATTTCACTTTTGGAAAAGGTCAATTATGAATTTTTAAAAGCCAAGAGCGTTTTAAGAATATGTAGAGAAAGACTTCAGCTGATTGAAAGTGACATAAACAAGAAAAAATGTAATGACACTTAAAGATGTGTCACACCCCATTAAATGCATAATGTGGTCTTCAAAATTCTTAAAGCCAATTAGTAGCTCAACTTGGAAATCATTATTGGAAGTGTCCATTTGATCTTCAAAAGTAATTATTATAATTTTGACAATATAGGGTTTTCTTTTTTTTGGTGGGGCAGGGAACTTTTTCCTTTGTTGGTAATGTCAAGGCAAATTAGTATTAACCTGTGTAGTGTCTTTTTGCATATCTTCCAAGAGACACTTAGACCGCTAAATATTGAAAGCTGCATTCATTACAATTCACTACAAATGTATTAACTTGCATGTCATAACTTAGTTTAGTGTTGAGTTAGGCAGAAAACCTCTGTTTCTGACAGAGAATGAGACTGGGAGAAATACCGGCAATTCAGTCTGCCTTTTCCCATAGATTTCATACACTTTGTTTTCCTGAAAATTAAGATTTAACAGGAGTTTTCTTAAATCTTCCTGTATAGACCTGTGAACAGTCTGTATATCGTGGCATCACATATATAATTTTTAAACTCTTGAAGGTGTAAGACGAGCTACAAACATCCTGTGAGTTTGGTTTTGCCCGTCTTAACAGAAATCTAATGTCTACTGGATTTTGCTTGGCATCTTCAACTCCCATAAAAAGAAACTAGAAATTGTCATGCTGTTTGAACCACTGGAAATGTATATAGTTTCTGGCTTCATTTTTTCATGCCCAACATCTCCCATTTTTTCTCCAGGCTATCATGGCTCAGCTCCCCCAGGAGGAGAAGGCTAAGATTGCCGAGCAGGTAGAGATATTCCACCAAGAAAAGAGCAAACTGGATGCAGAGGTGGCCAAGTGGGATGACAGTGGTAATGACATCATTGTGTTGGCGAAGCAGATGTGCATGATTATGATGGAAATGACAGACTTTACTAGGTAAGACAAAATAACCTTTGCTGAGGACTTCAGACATCCCGCATCTTTCCTTCTCGTTGCAATTTATAGCCTATTGAGATGATGCGCTGGGTTTTGCGGGATGCAAAGCCAGGTAACGCTCCCCATACGTAGCAGGATGGGTTGTCTCTACACATGGCTAGTCTGGATATTTCCCCAAACGGGATTAATCACGTAAAGTTTTTGTCCTATTTGTGAATCTGTTTTATTTGCAAATGATCTCGAATTTCAGCAGTAAAGATAGTCTGACCTTACAGACACTCAACTGATATTTCGTTTTGTGGCCATCTAAATGCACACGCCTCTCTGAACTTTCAGGATTTCAACACAATTTGTGTCAATCAAAAATAATGGCAAAACTATTTATATAATTCTAAACAATGAACTTCTTTCCAAAAAATCCCAAATGAAGTAAAACTGTTTTGATCTAATACTTTATTGGAGCCTGTCAGTAATGAATATTTTTGCTTTCTTTTCTTTTTTCTATGGATATCTTGGTCTTTTCTAATTGGAAAACATCAGAAGGCCATTCATTAATGATACCATATAAACAGAATTATTTTTTTTATATATAGTCATATTGTTAATCATGCCAGGGAGAACATTTTACAAGATACTTGGAATTACAGATCACCAGAATAAATGAAAGGTTTTTCAGTGTTTATTTTTAATGGGAGTTCAAAAGTTTAAATGGTATTTATCAAAATGTGATTAGAAAAAACTGGACAAAAATATTCATGTTTTTCTTTGGAAATAAAATAAGACATCCATTTATTCATCTCACCGAGATGCTAAAATAGGTTTCTTAAACTCCCACATGCCTTGTCTCTGGAGCCTTCAACCCATTTCAGAGGAGACAGTCTCTACATTGACAATATAGGGCTCTCACATACCTATGGATAGATAGAGGAGAGTTGTGTGTATAAATCTCATTAATTTGCAAATAACTTGACTTTTTGCACTTGTGTAGTTAGTTAATTGGTAATGGGCAACAGCAAGAAAGTTTGCATATAGGAAGTTTGCTTACTTTAATAGATTACTGCTCTACTTCTTTCCAAGTAATTATTCTTCCAGCTTATTTGTTTTTCTTTCCATTTGTGCTTTTACAACTATTCTTTTTGCAGCAGACTCACCACTCCTGTATACCAAATGACAGTGTAGAACCTCCTGTGAAGGGTGATACTTTAAAGGAAACTGAATTACTTTTGTATTTGTATTGTTTTTGGGTCTCTGATCCTTCTGCCCAAAAGCAGTGTGAAAAATTGTCCAAACAGTGCTATCATTTCATGGAAGGAAGAAATAAAGTTCTAAAGCAACAGCCCACAATATGAACACTTTCTGCAACATCCTAGACAACCTTTGATACATTGAGCATCAAATTGAAAGTTTTGTAATTACATTTTCTACCATCAAAAGAACACAACTAATATGAGAATGAGAGAAAACTACTGTCACATTTGAGTAAATTTAAAAGAAAAGAAAAATCAAAGTGCACCTCTGTCTACGTCAGATTCAATAAAAACTTGTTTAATATATTCCATTAAAAGAGAACAAAACCTTTCACATCTTTTTGGTTGACTGTAACCTCAGCAGTGTTAAAATAGAAAAAATGTTCAAATGTATGGAGTTTGTGACAGTCAGAGCTGCTGATGTAATTAATGTAGAAGCATACCAGGTCACTATGAAGGATTTCTGCTACAGTTTCAGTTCAATAAAAGTGGGATACTTGTATTTCAATATCTGTTTAAGGTGTAAATGAAAGTTTGGGAAGAAAGGAAAAATGGAAATATGTTTCAGTATGTTGTTCTTGGTGTTATAGATGAAAAATATTAAAAAAAAATGCCATGTTGTGCTTAGAAAAAAATGCCTTCAGTTTTAGTTTAAAAAAACCTAAGTTTGAACGTATTAGGATTTTCCATCAGTCTTGTCAGAAGCTATATTTCTCCACATATTAAAAAAAAAAAAAAAAAAAGGAAAATCATCTCACTTCCATCTGAGCCGTTCTCAGGAGCAGTAGCAAATTTATTATTACGAACAGGATTAAAGTTTTGAGCCTGAAAAAAACCTCAGAAAAGTCTGCAGTGACTTTTTATTTTTTTTCCACATACTTTTTGGTAACTTTAATGACTAAAAGCAAACTTTTGTGCATCGTCTTAACAGTATAGTGAAAGAGCAACCTTAAAGCTAATTATACATGTTTTAAATGTAACATTGAAGTGTGATATAAGGATTATGCTTCAAGTATCTTTGGTAGATTTTTGTCAGAGAACAAAAAAAGTTTTCTAAAATGTGATATCCGTGCTCTAGATATGACAGGGTTAACGTTTAGCACTGGCTTGGGAATAACATATTTTTGAAATACTTGTGTATTCCAGAAAGAATGTTGGCTTAGTCAGCACTTAAAAATGCGTATACTATTACGCAGAGCTTGTGCTTGAAGGTGCCATCAAACTAAATTGCTGGTAAGGCATTTTGTAAGAGAGAGGAAATACAGCAGGCCGATTTCTTAATCAGGCTGTACTATAAAGTAGTTAAAAGTTGTAATAAATTAGGAAGTCATTTGTGTAACCATTTTAAAATCAAACACGAAACAGGGTCACTAAAACTGTTGCCTTTCGTAATTTATTTATATTGTGCATAACCATATTGTATTTCAGAGGTAAAGGCCCCCTGAAGAATACATCAGATGTCATTAATGCGGCCAAAAAGATTGCAGAGGCAGGATCGAGGATGGACAAGTTAGCACGGGCGGTAGCTGATCAGGTAACAACAAAAATGAGGAGAAATATAACGTAACCTCTGTCAATGAATTGCCTTTTGCAGGAAAAAGTTATTTTTACTTGTCAGAAAATTACCTGTTGAAAGTCACTGCCTGGATACTGATCTACCCATTGAATAGAGGTTGTTTCTTCTGTATCAACCAACTTGGGTTTTGCAGTACAGGAAAGTCATAAATGAGTTTCTCTTACGTCTGCAATGCCTGAATTGTTCCACAGCCTCAATTCTGGACCCAGGCGATGGCATTAGAGTTAGACTGATACATCTGCTCTCCTAAAAGCAGTGGAGACTTGGGTGCTCTGTTACCCTTGCCGTATGCCTAGGAATCCTTATATCCTCTCTTTCTTCTAGCAGTTTCCTTTGACACTGCACTTTTCTTCTTCAAGATTCCCTGAGTCTCTTTCTCATGCTTTTGTATCAGGGAATTGTGCTTTCACCTCACAGCCCCCTGCTCCATGTTCTGGGTCTGAGTTCTCAGTCCCAATACCAAATTCATGTTTGCACCCGTTTTTAAAAAGGGTAGCAAGGAGGACCCTGGGAGTTACCAACTTGTCAGCCTCACCTCTGTGCCTGAGATCATGGAACAGATCCTCCCAGAAGCCATGCTAAGGCACACGGAGGACAGGGAAGTGATGCAAGACAGCCAGCATAGCTTCACCAAGAGCTCCATCATCAACAGCTCAATGACCAGATGGAGACT